ATTTTTATGCTAGTGAGAACCAAAACAATATGGAAATGAATGAGGGAAAACTGGATCCTACCACGTGATTTCCCGGCCAATAAAAATGTAGCGTTAAACGTTTAACGCAACCTTGTTGGAAGTCGCATAAGAAGTATAACTTCAAAAAGTGAGAAAAAATTCGGGAAAATGCACTTAAAAATACACTAACTTTCGAGCAAATTGGAATTTCGCAAAAAAATTAGTGTTTAGTTCATAAAGAAATAATGTCCTTTAAACATGCCGAATTTCAACTTTGTAGCTGCATTCTCTGCGGCCTGCAGACCAGTCCATATGGTATTGTGGTGTAACTACCACTATAAATATTGAATACCAATACACTAGTATGTAAAACATGTTAACTTGATTCTATTTTAAGGTACCTTTTGATAGATGAAGGTTGACATAGTCTAAGATTATAATTCCCCACATTGGTGACCTGTAGACATGAAAAGAATTTGCCAATATTGATGGATGATCTACATTTTTAAGCAGTTGACTTGCATAAAAATATACTGTTCAGGTAAAAAAAAATTTATAAAAATCCGGTGAAGTAAATAAAGTCTCCCGGTTAAAAAAACAAAACAAAAAAAATTGAAAGGGAAAAAAAAATTATGAGCGAAATGCTATAAAAAAAAAATTAAGGAGAAAGATAAAATAATGAGCGAAATGCTATGAAGAAAAAAAAAAAAATGAGTGATATACTATTAAAAATACTGAAGGAAAAATAATATAATGAGCAAAACTGATATATATAAATAAACAGCATGAATCAACTAGTGGTATCGATTCATCGAATTCTATCACAGATAAAATTCTGGAAGAGGAGTACTGTGGTGTAACTACCACTATAAATATTAAATACCAAATCACTAGTGTATATAAGACATGTTAACTTGATTCTATCTTGAGGTAACCTTTTGATAGATGAAGGTTGACATAGTCTAAAATTATAATTCCCCACAGTATTTTCCCCCCGCCAAGTTTTACAGTAGTATATTCGAACTAATTATCGAATATTAATTTTTTATTCCAGCATACTCCATGTAAAGTTTTCAACAAACAGCTATAATTTCAAGTTTCTAAATCTTATAGTTTTTGCGGAGAAAGAAAAGTAACGTTGAGTTGAACACCCAAAACAGCGGTGGACCTTACAATTTTTTAACACGGAGAGAATAAATAAATAGCTATATTTTATTACTTAAAAAAAAAAATCATATATTTACGAAGCGGAAAGATGAGAGAGGCCAGCCCCAGTGCCCCACCACAACATAATCGAAATAATTATAGATTTCTCCTAAGTCATTTCAAATACAAATCACAACAAGTCTCAGCACAAAGACAAACCAAAGTATAAATTTAGATAAAGGTACTAATACTTACAAACCAGAGAAGTGACTGGCAATAGTACATACTAAAGCGGTATTTCCTACAACTAGAACTAGATCCATTATCAAATATCACTTTCAAATTCGTGTTTATTTACGTCTTACCTCATCTTAAATGTTAAGATTTATGAGCAACTGATTTTAAAAAAATACGAACAACGTGCTTATCTTATCTTCGCCATATGAAGGTCGCTTTTAAAAAATCAAGGCTAGAGTTGGCAAGTAATCAAAATCAGTTTTTCTTTCTCCTTCTCTTCGAATCAAACAGTTTTGATTGCTTCTTTCATTGATAGATAGGTTGAATTTTACTTTCATGTCTTTTTTTCTTCCTAATGCATTGCACTCGTTATATAAAAATAAATTTTTTAATTAATGCTTTATTAAAATGTATTAAATAAAAAACATAAAGCATATTATATAATGTTGTTGTTGTTAATTTACGTCGCACTAGAGCTGCACAATGGGCTACTGGCGACGGTCTGGGAAACATCCTGGAGAATGATCGGAAGACATGCCATCACAATTTTGATCCTCTGCGGAGGGGATGACACCCCCGCTTCGGTAGCCCGACGACCTGCACGCGAAGTCGAGCACGTAATGGAGAAATGGACATATCTACCCACCATTCCTATTTTATACATTTGCAAAGAAACATTTAAAAAAGACATGCATTTTGGGAAACAAGACAAGTTGGGAAAAACCGTGGAGGTTTTCCTCTCCCTGTAACGCAAATTCGAGTAATTTTTCTCAAAAAGTCCTCCCGGGATTTGGTTAGCCCCTATGCTTGATCCAGGAGTTCCTTTCTTTTCTGGGTTGGGTAAATAATATCAACGCTACGTCAACTGTGCATCACCGGTTATTAAATTAAATACTGCAGCGCAATATTTTTTCATCATTCTTTTTTGCAAGATATTTTTGAGATTTAAAGCTATTCAAAATAAAGATGGATGATTTAGAATAAATAGACAGCAACGGAAAATTAAATCAACTTACTACAAAATTAAAGTTGTGCAAAATCTGTTTCCCTTCCGTATTCATAACTAAAACAAGATTCATTTTCAGATAAGTTAGGTAAAAGAGAGAAATTAAATAAAACACTTGAAAAAAAAAATCATAAACGAGTAAAATAACAAATAATATGAAATGAAGAAAATTTTTCAAATCAAGTTTAATTAATATTATTTACAATGAGTAACCATGTTAAGAGTTATAATTTTTGTTAAAAAAACCAAACAAAACAATAAATTAATAGGTCTTATTTCAGGGTGCGTAGCCAAATCTTTCAACAAAAAATAAGCATCTTTTAAGCACTCAAAAAATATTTTTAAGCACTATTAAAAATATTTTTGCATTAATAAAATAATTTTCAAAGACTTTATATCAGTGGTTCCCAAACTTTTTTGATCCATGGACCCCTTTTTATAGTCAAAACTTGTCCACGGACCCCCAAGTGAAAAACTGCATATATGTACGGTATAAAAAATTACAAATTAAAAAAAACAAAACATTTTGTTGAAGAACTATTTATTGAAATTATACCTTTTGATTAAAATAAGGACTTAGGACGTAAAAATCGCTACTATTTTATTTATCTTAATTTCCATAATAAAAACCAATCACAATTTTATTATTTTACAATAAACCTCACGCGGACCCCCCGACGTTGTAAATCGGACCCATAAATCAGTTTCTATTTTTCACGGACCCCTGGGGGTCCATATGGACCACTTTGGGAAACGCTGCTCTATATGATTAATAAAATAACTAGAATTTGACAAAGAACTCTTTTCTTGATTATATTAGCCATTAAAAAATGATCAAGTGATTTTTCGGTTCGATTTCAGAGGGTGGAAAAAGAATCTTGAAATTGAGAATATCATGCAAAATGCAGCTGAGTTGCACATATGAGAGTGCAAAAATCTCACCGAACCCAGCTCATCACTAGACGCACATGCGGACTCGCAAGTATTTCACCAAACCTGTAAAATGATTGGACTTTTTATACGCTATAGACTGACGGTAAGCTGAAATGGATTGTGGTTGATTGAATTCTGAAAACGTTGAATAGAAAAATATGAAAAGCACGTTTTTACATTATACGAGGGTTGCTATTTATATTTCTGGCCTAATAATGAAAAAAACAAATATGTAGGATCGAAATTGGTTTTATTGTTTTTTCAAAATATTCTCCATCCCCTCCGCAGAGGATCAAAATTGTGATGGAATGTCTTCGGATCATCCTCAGGGATGTTTCCCAGACCGTCGCCAATAGCCCATTGTGCAGCTCTAGTGCGACGTAAATGAACAACAAGAACAAAATATTCTCCATGATGATCAATACACTTTTGCATGCGTTTGAACCAATTTTCAAAGCACTTTTGGAGGTAACTCAAAACATGCGTTTTGAATGCATCAACCGCTTCTTCGGGGGTCAATCGTTGTCCACGTAATTTATTTTTGATGTGTGGGAATAAGAAAAAGTCATTGGGTGCCAAATCAGGGCTGTACGGCGGTTGACCCATCAGTTCGATCTCTCGCTCCGTCAGAAATGCCTTTGTTTGAGTCGATGTGTGAGAGCTNCACTCAAAAAATATTTTTAAGCACTATTAAAAATATTTTTGCATTAATAAAATAATTTTCAAAGACTTTATATCAGTGGTTCCCAAACTTTTTTGATCCATGGACCCCTTTTTATAGTCAAAACTTGTCCACGGACCCCCAAGTGAAAAACTGCATATATGTACGGTATAAAAAATTACAAATTAAAAAAAACAAAACATTTTGTTGAAGAACTATTTATTGAAATTATACCTTTTGATTAAAATAAGGACTTAGGACGTAAAAATCGCTACTATTTTATTTATCTTAATTTCCATAATAAAAACCAATCACAATTTTATTATTTTACAATAAACCTCACGCGGACCCCCTGACGTTGTCCAGGGACCCATAAATCGGTTTTTATTTTTCACGGACCCCTGGGGGTCCATATGGACCACTTTGGGAAACGCTGCTTTATATGATTAATAAAATAACTAGAATTTGACAAAGAACTCTTTTCTTGATTATATTAGCCATTAAAAAATGATCAAGTGATTTTTCGGTTCGATTTCAGAGGGTGGAAAAAGAATCTTGAAATTGAGAATATCATACAAAATGCAGCTGAGTTGCACATATGAGAGTGCAAAAATCTCACAGAACCCAGCTCATCACTAGACACACATGCGGACTCGCAAGTATTTCACCAAACCTGTAAAATGATTACCGCTTTTATACGCTATAGAGTATAGACTGACGGTAAGCTGAAATGGATTGTGGTTGATTGAATTCTGAAAACGTTGAATAGAAAAATATGGAAAGCACGTTTTTACATTATAAGTGGCGAAAATCGACTTTACTTTCATAAATCTCATTTTCGAAAAGGGAAAATTAAGTACTTTTTAAAAAGGCCCAATAAAAAAAAGCACCTTTAAGGGCTTTTAAAAATCGAAAATAAACACCTTTACTTTTTAAAAACGCTACGCACCAGGTATTTTATTAAATTTTTTTCTCCACATCTACGCACTTTGGATTGCTCTGAATAAAAAATATAAATCGAAAATGAATAATAAATTTAAAGAAAAAGATTCTTTTGTAAATTATTATGGATATGGTATGACCGACCAGAATGATTAAAAGCAAAATATAGCAACGACAAAATGGGAATATTAAGAAATGAAAATATTTTAAATACAAGGAAAGTTAATTCAATTGTAAAAAATAAAACGCTAATCTGATTTACGAAAATAAAAAAAGTTCATTCCAGGAAAATAAGTAAATAGAAGCATATGATTAAAAAATATTAATTAACTTATAAGTAACTATAATACAGTTGTGTAATAAATATGAAATAAAAAAAAATATTTTGAGAAAAAAATCTGAAGAAAACAAAACGTATCTGCAAAGTGATATTTTAGAGGTTAGATTAATAATAAAAAGCAGGTCTGTTTATTACTGCTGGTAGTTTGCCAAACTAAGAATCAAAAGGAGTCTCTAAGAGAAAATAAACAAACAAACAAAAATATATCATCTGTGGAAAATTAATTCTTTAACTGTAATGGTAAAAGTGTTTTCGTTGTTTTTTACTTCCTAAAAAAGCAATGTGTGTAACAAAGAATATTAATTGCTCAATCTAACGTTTTTTTTTGGGGGGGGGGTATAGCATTGTTTTTTATATTTAAACCTATCTTTTATTTATACCATCAATATGCATGGGAGATTTTCAAGTTAATGAAAGAATTCAAATTTTTCAATAAGAAAAAATAATTAAAAGGAATAAATAGAAAAAAAAAAGACTTTAAAAAACAACTGCTGTCAGGGTTTCCCCCAAAATTTACTCTACTCTCCAACCATTAATTGTTTAGAGATAGTACTCAATTCCGTTTTTAGAACTCTTTGAATCTTGAATAAAGCACTTAGGCTGATTACTTTATTCATATTATTGTTTGTTATTAATCAGGTTGTGTTTGCTTTATTCTAACTAGCACAAAGTATACCATATACTCATTTGGATATCCTTTGACCCTTTCTATACGTCCAACCAAAAGAAATCTTTCACTAGCTCATTCATAAGGGTGTGTATAAAATAAAAGACAAAGTTGGTTGATAGTTTAACCATATAAGGGGCTAATTGTTCTGGAATGTGGGATAAAACCCCAGTGGGTACAAATTCTTCGAAGGTCAGCTTTACATAATTTTATTAAGTGGTTTTCCTTTTAAAAAGTTATCCAAAGTTAGAAGTGCCAGTAAGCGAGAGCTAGGTTTAGGGAGTATGAGGATAATGAAGTCTTAATGTTTAATTTGTGCAATGTGTTCTTTGATAAAGCCAAGTAATAAAACAGGAGAGCCATCTGTTGGCCACCATAGGCACTTTTTAAGTTTTGACATTATTCAGTTTAGTTCTGTTGCAATCTATGAGTCAGATTTCATAAAAATATAATAGATCGCACCAAATGTTTTTTTTTTTTGGTGAATATTGTGCTTTGGCAATTTATCCTTGTTCAACCAACACCAAAGCAAATTAACGATAGAGCCAAATACACTATTGATGTTTTGGGCAAGTTCAAAAAGAGAACTCATACTTTCTAACAGAGTATATTTACGACCATTACCTTTTGAATTTTTTAAAAATTTAATTTTAGAGCTTGCAATTTTTTTAAGAGCCAAATGAGATATGTAACTTTTCAAATAATAAATTAACAGTAAAATAAGCTAAAGTCAAATGGTAAGCTGTTAATGTTGTCATATCCAACATTACAAATTTCATGCCTGAAGATCTGATACATATATCAACACTGGAAAAAAAAAGAAGGAAACTATAGTTGTACTGTTACTGTTCAAGTTTTTTATTTTAGTGAAAAGACAAATTCCAAAAGAGAATGGAGCTGAAAGAAATATTGTGAATTTCTGCAAATAACAGGATCACAGAGTAGAAAAAATTCACTTCTCCTGGTCACGGCATGCCCTGATCATATTAAACCTCAATAACAATTGGTGATTTATTAGGACGTCAGTGATTTAAATGAAAGTTTTTAAAGTAGCAAGAACAATAAATATCTTTCGAAAAATAATCATAATTAAAAATTAGATTTTCTGTTTAACGCAGAACAAAGTACTGAATATGCTGATGATAGAACCGAGGCTCTTTTCTGTATCTTGTAATTAAATTAAAAAAACACATTTATATAAAACAGTATTTTCCCTTTTTCATTACACGTGGAAGTGTCATAATTTCAAAATTAAGATGTTATTATGTAGCACTCTGAATTCAGTCAAATATTTTTGGTATTATAGTACTAATTGAGCCACAATGGCTCAGTGGTTAAAGCATTGAATTGCTATTGTTAAAAAACTGGCGTATGATCCCCAGTGGTGGTCTAACAGATCTTAAACAAACTTAAAGAGCAGTTGTAATAACAAGCAAAATTATATTTGCTAGATAAAATCAGCATTTTGTAATTTTACTTTATTTTGAGTATTTTCCAAATGTGTAACACAACCTTATTGCTAAATAAAAGTAATAAATACAATTATATTATCTTAGTTGGTAGTACAGTAGGGAACCGATTATCCGGAACGATCGGGACCAACGCTATTCCGGATAACTGATTTTTCCGGTTTTCTGAATCACTACGAAAAGCCGTTTTTTTATTGTCAAACTCAACTAAAAATAAAAATATTTGGAAATAATCTTAAAAAGAAGAAAAAACGATGAAGTAATACACTAATGATTATTTCCAAAATGATGGTAAAGTAAACTTCTTTCAAAAAAGAAAGAAAAATCCTGAAATCTTATGAGGAAAAAAAAATTTTTTTTTAAAAAATGGCGGGAAAACTTATTGAATTTCGTTCCGGTTTTTTGGTTTTCCGGTTTTCTGATTTCCGGATAAGGGGTTCTGTACTGTACCTCAAAAGCACTAAGTAAGCAATCAAGTTTATTGCAAGTATTACAAACTTTTTATTCAAATTTATGGGTGTATTTATAAATGAAATACTAAAACACCATCATTATAAATTTCCAAGTTTTTTTTGGCTATGCTTTTCATAAGGAAAAAAATTTTTTTTTCTCTCTCCTTTCTCATGATGATAGTTGTATTTTCTGATTTTCAATTATTATGAATTTCCAAGTGAACTGAAACCCATATTTACACAATAATATTACCATATTCACCCACAATTTCTAAAACAACAATTATTGTACGTTTTTGAGTTAAAATTAAAATTCAAAATAACAAGAAAAATACAAGTATAAATTTTAATTCATTATCAAATGCTTCCTTTTGGAGTATTACACAACAGAAAATAAAAACTGTCCAAAGAAACATACATTAAGTACATTTACACTAAGCTTAAAAGCAAATAACATCCTTATTATTACATAACATCGAATAATTTGATGAAATAAAAAAAATATTAAAGAATCCAGAAGTTATGGTTTTATTATTTACAGAATAATAAATATAAGCATTTTAAAAACAGTATTTGTACAACAAATAGACAGTTAGAAAAGTTAACTCAGTTTTTTAGCTTTTTTGTAGATAGAGTCTACAACTTTTTCAAGGCAATGAATGGTCTCCAACGCTGCTTCATAAGTTTTATCGCTATCAGAGGCTTCAAAAATTATAAGTATTCCTAAACCTTGATCAAGGATTCCTGGGAAAAATAATTGAAATAAATCAGTATTGCGAATGCATGCATTTTCAGTCAATATAATCAATAATATATATATATCAATATTGAATCCAAAGAGTTATATAAAAAAAATCTATAGTTTAGCTCACAATTTTTTTTATTGATAAACTAAGTATAATAAAAAATAGAATTTTATTTGCAAAGGAACATTTTTACAAAAGTTACATTGTTTAAAGAACAATTCATTTTAAATTAACAGAGGTCTCCTTAGACTACCTTTCTACAGTCTTTTTTTAGGAAACACTATCTTCACTAATTTCTCAGCACCTAGTCTATATCTTAATTTTATCCATAGATTGTAAATATAGAAAGTACACACTGAATGGATCTACAACTTGGGGAAAAAAAATTCATTCAACAACTTTTCAAAATTTTGAGTGCTTCTGCCAATCAACAATCACCATTTTGATGGATTATCCTACATTTTTGTTGGATCATTGTGGAAGTACAAACAGCTGGTTGCCTTGAATTTTAAAGGCTAGAAAACCAGGTAAAAGCTCTGTTTAAAAGCTTCTATTCATTCTTCAACCTGCTTTTACAGATCAGCTGATAGTCTGTTACCCATACATGGTGAATCCATCAAATTGGCAACATAAACACAATCGAATCCCAGCTTAGCGAATTCCTAGGGACAGAAGCAATTGCTACGTAATAGTGAAAATTTGTTATACTGATATTACGAATTTAAAATTATTAATACGCTGAAATTTTCACTTAAAAAAATAATAAATCTTGCATTTAATTACAGTTTTGATCTATTTGTACTCTACATGTAGAAAATATCAAACCAATATTTTAATAAGCTCACAAAAACTACTAAATTAAAATGAACAATGGATTTATTATGACTTATCAGAAATTACGTAATCTGTAATTCTTTTTTGTATAAATGATTCAGAACCAGTAGAAATTTCCAACTTCTCCTAATTATGCAAATTTTTTTTACGAAGTATCTGATAAGATGTTTTGTGCCAATAAATATTCCAAACTGGTCAAGGCCTGTGAAGCTGTAGGTACAGAAAAGTTTTTTTCTGAATATTCATCATAATTGCTGTTTGGAAACTATTCCTGTACTCATTTACGCCTTGCGGTTAGATTTATAACTTCATAGAAGTGAGTTAATATTTATCAGGCATTTAGGTTTGGTAGATTTGTCGATAACCATAACTTTTCTTTTTTCTGTGCCGGACATATTGCAGCAAAATAAAGCAGATGAACGCAATTTTGAATTTTTACCTCTGATGCATCTGTTTTTGATTAAAAAAAAAAAGGCTAAAGTTGTTAGGTAACAATTGGAGAAAAAAAATCCCTGCTTCATCTGCATTGAAAACATCAGAAGGGTCGTAAGACTTAATCGCATCCAATTTTTTTTTGCTTTCCAGTCATTCACGGCTTTTAAATCCACAGAGTTAGCTACGCCGGAAACTTGTTTTGCAACAATACCATAGCGTTCTGTGCATCGATTTAGCCAACCAACACTTGCTTGAAAATTCTTGCTTTCAAAATTTTTTGCGAATTCTAAAGCCCTTCCACAAATTAGAGGCCCATAAATTGGAATCCTGGAACCATGTGAACATTGTTGCATCCACATCTTGAAAATTTGAGTAGTATTTTCTTCCTATGTGATCCTATCAATACTAATTGCATTTGTTGCTCCAACTTCCTTCTATTTTTCAAAAAAATAGATGTAGATGGGGATATTTTATATTTTGCAGCAACATCAGCTTTTTTTTACCCCACCAAGTTTTGATATGATGTCAATTTTTTCTCTAATTAAAAGTTCTTTACGTTTCTGCCCACCCTTTTTATTTAAGAATGAAAGCAAAAAGCGTGCAAACGCTACTAGCACTGCAGCTGTAAACTGATTCCACTTCCTTCTCCTGCAGAATTTGTACATGGTGCTGCACACGGCACACCCTTCATAATTTAAAATTCTTAGAACTATTCTCCCACCTCCATTCAAGAATTGTCCCAATAAGGATGGTCATATCTAAACAATATGTCATTCTTGACAAGTCCTTCCTGAACTGGAAATCAATCTTTTGATAGGCCAAGTGCAATTTTTTATTTTTAATCACACTTTTTCGTTGTTGCAAACCTCGATTTCAGATTAACATAAGCTTTTGAGAGAGCAACTAAATGCTTTATGCTGTAAAATGGTTTCATATATCCAAAACTCAGAAATAAATTTTAACGTCCCTAAATAGAACTTAATATTTTTCAAATAGAAGTGTGAACAATATATGAGGCATTAAAATGATGTGAAACACAATATATACCACAGGAAAGTGTTTCAGAGAGGAATGTCACTATGAAGAGCCATAACATTAACTAATTTTTTTTAATAGAATATAATATTTCTTTGTTGATTATATAATATTTAGTAAAAATCTTCATGATTTTTCTTGAAAGAAAGAATTTAAAACTACCACTTTAAAACAATAAATGTAAGTCAAATGAAAAAAAAAAATCCCTATTTTAAAGCACAAAACAATGAAAATTCTACAAACCATTCAGTTTCTTATCCAAAATCATTTGTGACATCTTTTTTTCAACAGTAGGCTAAAGAAAAGAAATAAAAAAGTAGAATTTATTTTAGTACCGAATAAAAATACCAAAATACCGAATTTAAGTAGAATAATATACAGAAATAAGACATACCAGTGGTAAACCAATTACAGAAGCTACATGCTGCAGCTAAAAATAAAAAAAAAGAAGACATTACTAGAGAGCAAAAAAGCATCTTGCTGGTATTTAAACTTTTAGAACTTATGTGAAAAGAAATTATATTGTTTACCTGAAAAGGTCACAGTTTCTAAAATTTATTTATTCTTAATCTACTAGGAGATGAGACAATCTCAATAGCCTGATAGTTAAAAGTAATTTTCAGGTTCATATTTTGTATTTGGAGTTTCAATTGTATTCTTCCTTCGATTAAGAAAGGTGATAGAAACCATCTAACAGCTTTAAAAAAAAATAAATCACGCGGTGTGATACTGTCTACCAGACATTTTTCCTACCTCATTTTTTAACACTTCTGCTTTAGTATTTGAGTTTCAATTTGAGCTATTTCTTATTTGTTTCTCTAATTCTAGTAACATTTGGGTTCTTTTCCTGAAGTTTCTTATTTTTTCCCCCTTCTATAAATAGGGATTGCAAAAATTATATACCAATGATTCTCTTAGATAACATTAGATGTACCATAACAAAGAAATTTTGATGACTTAAAACTGAGATAAATTTTGCCTTTTGTGTACTTCTGGTGCACTCACAGTTGCAGCATTAAAACATAAGTTATAAAATATTATGGTTGGTTGACAATTTCGTGTAGATATTAAAGACTTTTTTCAGATAGGTAATTCAAGCTATTCAGCTATTGAGTGATGAACATAAATTTCTGAGTTTCCTAATAGATTATCTTGATTTTGGGGCGTTTCATAAAAGTTTGATAAATTTTAAAATTATTGACTTCTTAAAAGTGTCGTTTTAGCTTCCTGAAGGAAAATCAAATAACAATGTTAGCTCCAAACCATAACTTAATATTTTGAAAGCAAATCTTATTTTAAGATTTAAAAATAAATTTTAAACGGAGTTTCATATAATGCAGTGTTTAGCAAAAATGTTAATTTTGATTCCAAAAAACTTTCATAAATTTAAATTGGGATATTTAAAAATGGTTTAAATGAAATAGTCTTTGTTTCTTATTCAGGAAGCAAAAAGAAAACTTTTGTCGAATCATGCAATTTAAAACTTGGTTGAAAATTTTGAAATCGTGACACCATGAAATACTTTTGGGTTAGATTACAAGTCTTTGGCTTTTGAAAAGTCAACAGGACCTTGACTTTAGCAGCTTACTTCTTACAATTAATTGTTAGCAGAAAAACGCTTTTTTTTTGACACACAATATAATTACAATACAAATATACAAAAATAATTAATAATTTAAAAATAAAAAAAAATATGAAAGAAAAAAATACATCACTTACTTGAACTTTTGAGTATGGTTCAATAATTCTACACAAATTTTGTTCAAGCATAGTGTCATATAAAGCATCTAAATGAGCATGAATTATAGGGTCTTCAATGAGTTGTTTCTTATATATTTTAAGAGCCTAAGAGATAAAAAAATTTTCTTCAGAGAAATGAACATCAATATGTCTGAATTTAAAGATTAAAGAAAGTATTAATAACAGGGGATTTTAAAAATGCTTTAAGATTTTCATGTCTAATAATAAGAATATCTATCTTGATAAAACATAAAATTTACAGTCAATAATTTTTATCAGATTTCCTTAAAATAAAAAGAAGAGAAAATAAGAAATGTTGGTTAAAGCAAAGATGCACAACTGGTTGCCAAATGCGGTCCCAAATGGTCACGTCTGGCCTTCTGCCATTTAACCAAAAAGACTACATAATCAGCTTGAAAATTTTTATAACTATTTTTTAAAATAACAATCATCCCCAAAAATTTATAGTATCAAAACTTTAAAATATAAAAGGTTAAATTCAAAATGTCTAAATATTAAAATTTTTGGTCATTTCATGTTTTTAAAAGAGCATTTCTTCAGCTCCATGGAAGTTCAAGTATTTATTTAAAAATTAAAGATGTCAGAAAAAAAAATTTACGAAATTTTGTTTTCTCCACTTTGAAAGTAGAAAACTAGCTTCAATTTAATTTTATTGATGAAGACAAAATGTGTAAAATTTTGAATGTTTCGAATTCAAAAGTATCATACATGAACTTAGTCTTTTAAGACAAATTGATATTATTCTTATTACATTAATGAATAAAATATCAATTGATATAAAAACTGAATTCATTATGACCCTTCTAGGAGAAAGATTAGGTACCTTTTGGTTTGGTCATTAACCATTTTCTTCTACTTATGTCTGAAAACCATATAGAGTGTGTTAAAATTTAATTCATTTAAAAATTATTAACTAAATTCAGTATTCATACAAAAGAATATTAAATAAACGGACTTGCTGCAAATATGAAATAAATGCTTAATTATTATGATATGTCTGTTTTCTCTTTTCAGTATTCATTAGAAAAATAAGTTTCATAAAAAAACCTAAAATATTTTTTGTGACAAGACTATAGGATAAAAACAGAAAAATAGGTAAAAAAAAAAAAAAGACAGATTAACTTATTTTTAAATCATTCTAAAAAATTGTTTTAAGAATTAAATTAAGTAAAGTTGTAAGAAGGTACAACTTGGATTAGGCGCATAGTCAATGAAAATAAATTCAAAAACATATCGATTCCAAAGATCAAAACAATAAGACAAACAATTTTTGTATACATGAAAAGTCAATAGCATTAGACAGATGATAAAAATATATACAGAAGATATTTTATAATTTTACTGAAATAAAAAAGTCAGTGGCAATTTCTTTTAAGGGAATTTTCCCTTTATATTATATTAAGTTGTATCTATACATATAATGACGAAGAATTTATGTGTGTGTGTCTACAGACTGGATTGTAAGCATATAGTAGGCACTGAAAATACGACATTAAACATTAAGCTAAATGAGTGCAATTGTAAACAAATTGTGAAGCCTGATTTTCAATTTTTTAATTGGTCTAGCAGAAGTTACAGTTTTAAATTAACAATAGAGAATTTAGTTCAGTCAAATATTTTAAAAATAACAGTGATGTTTGCTAGCTCATATCTATTATAAAAAAAGTTATTTATTACAAGTTCCGTAAGATTTAATTATTTTCTAATCATTATGCAAGATTATCAGAATGATCAGTGTGAGTGTTCTAACCGCAAATTACCATTTTTTAAGCTAACTGAAACCATGTATTTATAATTACAGTTTTAAAACCTGTATCTAAAACACTAAATAATTTAAAACCAAGGGTTACTGAAATAAAATAAAGTTTTGAAATGAAAAGCTAAATCAATGGAGAAATGGCATTTGTCCGTTCATGAAAAACGTTAAAAAAACCTTGTTAATATTTCTATTGTCAATCATAATTTTGGTTACAGTTACTAATCGAAGTAAAAAACAAATAAGCTATGTACTAAAAAGCAAAATTAATGGAGAAATGGTAATAATTCATTTGATGATAATAATTCATTAATCAGTAAACTATCATTAAATGCTTATTTAATTTTGGTAATAGGTGCTGGAAATTTAACAATAAGCTATATATTAAAAAGAAAAATAAATGAGAAAACGTACTTATTCATTATGGGGGAACAGAAAAAACTTTTGATACTATTATCAACACCAACGATGCTTAATTTTGGTTGCTTGATAATTATATTGTAATTGGTGTAGTTTTAATAGGCACCAAATATACCCTTACATAGGTACAAAGTATTGAGTAAATTTGGTGCCAATTAAAGGTGAATCAATAGTGCAATTTTATGATCAGATACTGCTGAATTTTTTTTTTTAAATGTTCTTAGAATATGTAAGTGCAGGAAAAAGTAGCTTAACTGTGGTAAATTTTAAATATCATGAGTTGCCTCCAGCAACAGCATTATGCCAGATGGCACTGAAAACAGTTAATCTTTATTTTGATGGGATAGGACATCTGCTACATTTTAGATTTTCCAATTCATGACTTTTCATGATTTTCCATGACTAATTCCAAGAATTTTTTCATGACTTAACGAAGTTACTATTTTCTCCGACAAAAACGTAACATTAAATTTAAAAAAGCATTATAATAACATTCATTGAAATGATAATTATAACCAAAACTGTTATACTCTGCATCTTCATGTTTATAGATTTTAAATTGAAAAAACAGAGTAAAGAAAGAGTTGAAGCAATAAAATAGCTGGAAAAAAAATACAAAAGCAATTTTTTCTTCCTTTTTTCTGCAGAATTCAATTCTAAAGATACTTTTCTTGTTCATCAGAAAGGAAAGAAATACTCCTTATTTGTCTGTTCTCATTTCGAAATAAAAAAATAATTCGCCAATGATTGGCTCAGTTGAAATTTAAATTGATAAAAAAATAAATAAATAATAAAAGTTCTTAAATCACAGAAGTTTAAAAGATAATTCGCTCTAGAAATTATGTTTTTCCTTTCATTTTTGGAAAGAACACCATAATTTTTTAAGAACTTGATAAAGACATTTTATATCCCAATAAAATATGACTGTGAGTAGTGATTTTGTTAAGAATTCAGATATTTGGAACACGATGAAATTCAGGGGGTATTCCATTTTAAAAATTAGATTTTTCAGTGACCTAAATCCAGGACTTTCTACGATTTTTTCAAAAAAAAAAAAAAAAAAAAAAAAAAAAAAAAAAAAAAAATCATGACAAATTTTGTTCAATACTGAAATACATGGATAGATTACTAAATACATGTTTTGCTTAATCAAATAACATAGAGCCACAGNAAAAAAAATAAATAAATAAAAATCATGACAAATTTTGTTCAATACTGAAATTCATGACTTTCCAGGTGCGCGGATACATGGATAGACTACTAAATACATGTTTTGCTTAATCAAATAACATAGAGCCACAGGGAAGTGCAATAAAAAAAGAAATATTGGAATTATTTTTGTTTTATAACTGTCAGTAGGCGGCACTTGTCTCTTAGGTTTGTGTAAGACTTTGTAGTGTTGTTCAGCACTGATTTATTATTATTACTTTTTTACATCCTGTACGAAGAACTGGTATTCAGCTAGTACAAATTATAATACTCTATAAGAAATACTACATTTTATAAGAATATAATTAATTACTTAAATAACACATCATTAGCTCTTTTGTAAAAATATATGAAAAAAAAAAAAAACCAAGTTTTGAACAAGACAGCATACTGTATCTTTTGAAAAGGTGTGTAGGATTGAAAGCTGATTCTATTTTCCTTTTGAAGAAAGAAAAAAGAGGGGACTAACAAATTAAACTTATTATGAAGAAATACACAATTAAATAATTAATAACATATTAATATCTTTTTTTAAATATTTAAGCTTCTTTGTGATTACTGTGAAATTAACTAAAATAATGTTGCTTAATATAAATATGTATTGGGCATGAGATTTAAACACAGACATGGACAGAAAACAATACTAATCAGGATTTCAGCTACTGTTTTCTGTCCAAGAATAAATATCATAAACAACTTAATAAAATGAGATGGATAAAAGATAGAACATTGTACAAACCCTTCATTGTACCCTTCAAATAAGTGAAAAGTTTCAATTGATAGACCGGAAACTAATTAATTACCTCCTGAAAATCAGATAATGATCTCTTAGAACTTGAAGCTGCAATAGCCTTCATAGCATCAACATCTACTCCAGCATACTTTAGAGCTAATTTCCCCATAGTTAGAGATGGTACATCGCTAGGACTAAAATTAAAACAGCACATTTTAAAATTTATATTCTTATTGTGAAAAGTGAATTATTTTTTCCCCCAAATAGACAAGAATGATTTCTTGAAACCAGGATTTGTGATTTTTAAAAAAAAAAAAAAAATCAGATTTTTTTGATTTTTATTCAAATACATTATAAGAACTTTAATTTTTGATTCAAAAAACTTTATAAATATTTAATCAAAAAATTAAATTAATATTAAAACTATATTATAACAATATTTTAGAAACTCTAACTTACTAAAATAATTTTTCATTATAATACATAGCTTTGAATGCATAGCAACCATTTTGAAACAAATGTATGAATGAAATTTAAAGACTGGATGAAATAGAGAATATAAAGAATTCTTCAGGGGTCTGCCTAGGTTTTTCTGAGAGGTACCTATTTTGTGAAAATTAAAAATTATATCTAAAAATCAACACAAAAATATGGTAAAAATATAAATTTATCGTTTCTTACGAGAGTCAAAAATAAAATTTAAAAAAAAAAAAAGTATTTTGAGAAACTGCCATTTTTTCTAAAGTTGAATTTGCGAAGGGACCGCTAAATGGTAGTAAATTTGGCTTGGACAGACCCCTGTTCTTTATGGACAGACCCCTGTTCTTTAACAAAGTTTCAATTAGCAAACCATAATTTTAATTTAAAATAGTGATTTTTTAAATTTTTTTTTCTTGATTTTTAAAATGCCAAAATAAATGTAACAGATTGTGTTTATAAATGAAATGTATTCATTTATCAAAAAATAAACATTTAATCTATATATTTTTATATTAAAATATTCATCTTTAATCCTATATCAAAATAGATAAGTTAGGCTAATTAATTTTTTAACAAATCTATGTACTCATTGGAATTTTTCTTTCACAAAACTTCTTTACAGAAAATCTGATAATGTCAAAGATACTGTAAACATATTATGAGAAAAAATACCAGTTATCAGTTAATAATCCCACTGCATCAAATATACCTTGAAACAGTTTGAAAGGCATATAGAGTATATTTTTGGCATATTAGAGGAATTTCTTTTTAATATAACCTCAAGTTTTAGAAACATACATTTTCCACCAATAAAATATAATGTAGATTTTAATTCCATGCTTTTTCAAGCAAAACGTAGAGTTCAAATTAACATTATTTGCATTTTTTTGGGAAAAGATTTAATGTTTATTAATTACTTTCTACAGTTATGCAAGTCTATATTAAATGTTTACTTCAATCTGTACTTTCAATCTCAAGAATCAAAAGATTTTTAAAATTGTAATTTCAAATGTGTTGGAATTTAACACACATCAAGAAAGAAAGTAATTTCGTTAACTAAAATTAATTAATGCAGCAATTTATTTAAAGTAAACTTTAAAACTAAGAAAAGAAAATAATTAAAATATCAATAATTTAAAACATTGTTTTTCAACTTTTAAAATCAATATATATATATAAAAATATCAATTGATTTAAATCAATGATTTTTAAAAAAAAAATCATTTGATTTAAATCAACAAACCCTGCTTGAAACTAAACAGATCAAAGTAATTCTCCCTCTATTGAATCTTTAAGGTAATTATTGTTACAGTGAAACAGTGTTCAGCCTTTTAAAAGTTGGCAATGTGTGTTAACTGAAAATATGCAAATTTTAGTTTGTAGTTCTTTAACGTTTTTTTAAAAAAAATATTTCGTTGAATACGGAGCAGTTGCCAGCTCCGTAAAAGTATTAATATATAAACTGCCATAACATTAAACAAGAGGTAGTTATTGTTTAAAAACTCATAAAAAACTGAGATAAATTCATTATTTTCTCACTAATCATTTAATATTTTAAATAAAATATCGATTCTTCTGATATTTAATTTTTTTATGGCTCCAGGCTTTTAAATTTTCAGCAATAAATTATAATTAAATATTTTTTCAAATAAAATCTTTATGTGACTAAGTATCATAAATTGGAAACTATTAAGCAATTCACAAGTTTTAAGAGATAAATTTAATCTATACAATAATCAATTTGGATATAAAGTGAAGTAACTACAAACATGTACTTCAAATGTTTATATTATAATATACAGCAATAAAATTTGCCTTATGTCTATTTGCATAAAAAATTTGTAGTAGTAAATGCTATGAACACTTAATCTAAATATTTAAAATTTATATTTGTGAAGGAATATGAGCCTGTGTTGTAAATGAAATAGAGTTCAGATTTATTATTCTGTAACACAGCATGATTTTGTAAATTGTGTTATCACTTTCTATGTCCTATTCAGACTATAATTTAAGCACTTAATTTTCCATTAATAATTAATATACAGTGTTACCCAATATCAAATGAAATACTATTAGTTAGATACCATATTAAATTTGCAAAATAATTTCATTTAAGAATTCTTTTTTTCAAATAGTACATTTTTATAAGAATTAATAAAACTTCAAATTTTACAAAAATTTGTTATGACACAAAAATGTGATCTAATTATTAAAAAATAAATAAGTAAACAAACGTTACATATAATCTGGGAATAAAAATATAATAATTGATTAAATATAAATATTTTTTTAAAATATAAATTTTTTTAAAAATTATTTACTTAATAACTTTAAATCATTATCTTTTAAATGAACAAAAAGCAGTTTCTTTTATTCCTTCTTAAAGGATTTTTTTCCACAAAAAACTTGCCTAAACTAACTAGCTTAAACTATAGAAACAGACAAGAATATAGAGACTTACAACTTAAGCCTTATTTATCATCAATTATGATATAAAACTAGTGATCAGTCAAATAAAACTGTTAACTCATTTAAATAATATTCAATACAATTCACAACTAAATAGGGATCAGAAGAATTTTATTTATTTTCAGGGCCACCACTGAATTTGGCATTAAAAAATAGTTGCGTCAGTAGCCCACAAGCTCAAAAATAGTAGCCTAAATAACATCCTTGAAACAAATAGTATCCTCAGATAACATATGTTTCATAAAGACCACACTTAAAGCTTTTTTCTTCTTTTTTTATAGAATCCTTCATAAATGATAACAAGAAGGTATACACATTTATTTTACTGGGGAAAAAACAAAGAATACTATTAAAATCTGAGATATTACAGTACAGGAAGTGAATGCAATAAACAACAAAATTGGTTCGATTCGGTGAGGAAACAGAAAATGAGTTGAAGGTTATTAAGAGAAGGTTGAAGAGCTGTTAAAACAGTTATTATTTATAGAAAGTTTCAACCGTCAATTAAACCTTTTTTGATGTTTACTACATCCATGTGGCTCTACTGTATATTGTATGATTCGATAGCATATTTGTTCATTCCTTCCTTAAAAAATTAATTTATGACCCAAATGTATATACTCCTTTCTTTTTGATAAAGATTTAAAAAGTACACATTAAAGGCAATTTTTTTTGGAACATTATACAATCTAAGAAGTTTTTAAAATGCAGAGTTAAATTGTTAGTATTTAAATCACAAAATGCACTTGCAGAAAATATTAGGAATTATAAACAGAAATGTGTATTAAAGAAGGATTCAACCTATCTCAAATAAAAATTATGATTTCAACTATAATTTGCATGTTAAATTGAATAAATATTTTTTCTTACTAATATCGAAGTAACAGTTGTAAGTTAACTGGGTATACATTCTAAATTATACAAACTCTGGTATTTTTTATCTATAGTTAAAACAGTTCAGGAAAGACCACTACTCTGAAAAGTCGACCCTTAATCGTATTATTTAGTTATGTTATTCGAAACTAAGACAACAATACAAACACACAAAGCCTGCACACGTTCATATATCAACTTTAAAAAATTGAAGCACAATCTTAAAATTAGTTTCTTTTATTCAACAAGAAAAGATTTATTTTTAAGATGAAAGAAAGTAAAACTTGTTTTAATTATTTATCAAAAAAAAAAAAAAAGAAAAAGTAATGGTATACTTACACTCCCAGCATAATCTTCGATAGCAACATGTATTTTAAAGCTATAACAGCTTTGGGGTCATCAACTGACTCATAGCCATCGAATGCTTCAAAAAAGTAAGAAAAAGCAGTCTTGAAATCTTTTTCATCAGCAGCATGCAAAATTCCTGATTGCAAATCTAAGGAAGCTTGTAACTTAGGAGGGCAATATATACCATTTGCTGTGGTTCTGGCAGTGGTTAAAGCAGCTCTAAAAATATAAAATTTTTCAAAGGAAATATTATTTAAAAAACTTATTAAAATTAGACAAAAAAACTATAATTATAAATGATATATCTGCATGAACAAGAATAAGTACTGCAGCATTTCTAAATTTTAAACCAATTGGGTTAGATATTCTTTCCACTTTTTTTAAAGTAACTATTGCTTCTGCTACCTGGGTATTCAACAGTGTGATATCACAGAATTCATTACGTTCAAAAATATTAAGTTTAGAGAGTTTACATTGTGCGGATTACAATGAATTGAAAATACTTAGCTCGAAAAAAATATTTTTTATGGTACAATGGCACATGATAGCAAATCATTTTAAAGTTTAAGTGTGTGTGTCTTTCTCACTACATATATATATTATACACCAAAGAGCCATTACATTATGACCACCCTCAATCTATAACAATGGGCTCGCCCAGGTTTTCATGGTTTCTCGACCAGGAACAGTGTTTTCATGGGGCACATTAGGACCCACAATCCTCATAGAACAATCCCTGATGTCTGTAAGCTACTTGAACATAGTTGCAGACCAGGTTCATCTATTCATGGCAACAGTTCTTCTTGCAGAGGATGGTGTTTACCAACAGGATAATGCACCATGTCATAAGGGTCGAATCATCATGGATTGGTTCGAGGAACATTCCAGTGACTTTCAAGTCATGTCTTGGCCCTCAAATTCACCTGACCTTAATCCAATAGAGCATTTGTGGTCTTACTTGGAAAACCAAATTTGTGCTGCCATGCTACCCCCTCGCAATGTGAGAGAATTGCAGGACCAGTTGGTGAGCGCTTGGTACCAGATACCTCAGATTACCTATCAGCACCTTGTGTAATCAATGCCACGGCGGGTGCTAGCAGTTTGGAGGGCTAAAGGTGGTCCTATATGTTATTAGCAGGGTGGTCATAATGTAATGGCTCTTCGGTGTATATATATTTAAAAAAAAAATTTATATTTTAGACAATACTTTAGCAGCACTGTTTAAGTTTTAAAATGCTTATGCTATTCTACCCCCCTACCGTGTTCTTGCATTGAACCTAATCTTTCATTTTGTCTTCGAAGCTGAATAATCTTTTAGCAAGATATTCTTTCACTTCAGTGAACATCATTGTTATCCTACTATTCATATTTAGCATTATAATTTCAGCTGATTTCTACTTGCCTATTATTTACATAAAAACACAATCTTTTCAATCCAAAATTATTGTTTGTAACAAATATTGTTTAGGAATTTCCAAGTAAATAAGAGCTTAAAACTTTCTACAATATCGATATATGATAAAAATTGATTAGAGGAGTTAATTCAGGTAGTATACTTGACTATCGCATAAAAGAGTATCAGTTTATTGTACTAATATGAATAAGTATATTTTTATTAGCAAAACTTAGTTAATAACTACATTCTATCACTTCCTAATCCAGTCTTCTACATTTTTTTTTGTAATGAAACCATAAATGATTAAATTTCCTGATGTATGAATTCCAAACTTAAAAATAAAGATTACTAATTAAACAATATTTATTTTTTTAAATATTCAACTTTAAAATTTTCTGAACTAATAACCACCCTGAAAGAGTAAGTAATTCACAGTTTCATGTCTTTTTGCAAGTCTAACTTTATAGATGGTTTGTCTTTGTCATCTTCCATGTCTTACACCAATAAATCTTAAATTTTAATAGTGCATCTTTTCCTCCATCAATTTATTTTAGTATTGTGATAAGCATTTCAGATTTAAATTTCAAACTTTTATTTGAGTGTCAGCAAAAACTTGTTTTCCAAAAAGGAACGCCATTACTTTTTTTTTTTTTTTTTTTTTTTTAACAAAAGCCAAGCTTAAAGGTAAATTAATAGCTCAAGAATTAAGTATAGTTAATATAATTGGCATAATCATGGATCAATAACATAATAATTAAAAATTATAATTATTTCACTACCAATATCTAAAATATCTTCCAAAGATATTACGAATTGGTACCTATGAAGCATTGGGAAGTAGTAATTTTATTAGTTTAAAAATACAAATGATTTTCAATAATATAGATAAGCTATCATTTCACTAATGTTATTGATATATACTTAGTTTATAAAAATTACATTTATCAATTTGCAGCAAAATAGTAAACAAATATAAAAATTGAGCATAGCTTATGTTAAAGTTTTGATTGTTATAGTTAAATAACTGTCACAACACTAGGATGTTGAAGAATACTTAAAATTATTTTAGTCAGAATGCCTCAAAATTCTTAAAAAATACTCTTAACCATAAAAAAAAAACTTAAAATAAAAACAATGACCTTTAATATTTAGGTTCATTTATTATTATTTTTTTTAAATATATATTTATGTCATAACCTTTATTTATAAATTTAATAAAAGTAAGGTTAAAATGAAAATAAACATGCACTTTATCAGGGTTCCCACTCAATTTTTTAAAAAAAATTCAAGTTTTCAATGACTTTCAAGGATCTAAAATCAAATTTTTCAAGGACCTATTTGGTATTACAATTACATGCTAAATTACATGTCAACTAGATTTTACAATTACGTAGAAGCAGAAATTGTATACTTTTAAAGCACAATGCTTATTTAACAACAACAAAAAATTATTTATTAAATTAATCATCTAATAATACAAATGGTTGATTGTTACATTGCTGTTTTCAAATCACATTGAAAAACTCCAATTAACTCCACTTTGAAAAAATCCAACAAAAATACAATTGACATAGGATACAAGCCAACATTTAAATACTAGCACAATTGAAACCTTTCTTGAAAAATTTAATGAAGAGAATTAGAATTACTGAAATTGAGTGGATGAATAATGCATATTACATTAAACAAGCATAGTAAATAATTGATAAAGACCGTATAATTGCAAGGTTATTAAAATATAAATACTATTGTTAATATGTTAGATCAAATTTTAGCTTACAGGAAATGTATATAATTGGATAAGATATCAAAATATATCCATTTAACATATCTGTTTCAATTTTAATGACAAATTATCTATTTTGCTACTTCAGAAAATAAGTAATGTATTTTGAATATAATAAAATCTATTGTAAAACAATATTTTACAGAAAACTAACTAAGACTTACCAAGCTTTATTTTCTTTAAAATATATCCATAAAATGTGAAGCACGATTTCTAAAATTTTGTGAATATGCGTAATTTTAACTAAGCATAAGTTTTAAATTGCATTTATACGAATCTAGATATACAATATTTAAATCAAAATTATAAGAAAGGTGAAATAAGTCTCAAAGATTATGTAAATCGCATATCACATTGTGTGTTTTGTTAATTGAAATTGAATTGCGATTTGTGTTTCTTAAATCGGAACAATATGAACAGCAAATGATACAAAACGCACAAATTAACAAGACGTCAATCACAATGTGTGATACAATATGAATTCTGTTTCGTGATTAGCTAATAATTTTCATGTGAATTGTGATCATTATGACGCAAACTGCAATTTGTGAATCGAAGGTGCTTAATATAGAACAGTTATGAGTGATTCTTAAATCATTTTGGTGAGAATTGCAAGTGATAATTATAAAATCTTTCTTTTGTGAATCGCAATGCGTGATTTGTAAACTACTAGAATGAAAATTGTTAGGCATGATTCTGAAATTACTTAAATACATATCACATTACATGATTTAGAAATAACTTTATTGAAATTATGTGTGAATCCTGATGAGTAATTTGCAAATCATTTTAAAGTTATATTTAATATGTGATTCATTAATCACTTTAATTAAAACCGCGATTCATAGACCATTTTTATATGAATTCGGATCCGTAAATCAAGAATCAGTTTAATGTGAATCACGATGTTTATTCATAATTAATGAAACCTGTAGAACTAAATTTTATTTATCAGCAGTAAAAACTAAATATAAAAATTTGGTTATAAATGATGAAAAATGAATTATCCTTTGTACATAAATTAAAAGAACAAACAGGGTAACAATATTAACCTGTTGTAATAACGAAGTTAACACACTGACAAATTTCTAAATCGATTAAACACTATATATTCTTTGAAAACTATGACTACAAAACCAAAAATTTGCTAGAAATTTCAGCTTTCAAAACATCAGAGAGTTGAACAATAATCAGGAGTGAAAAATCTAGGAGAGAAAAGTTTCGCATCTTCTTTAACCCCTTTTCACTTCAAAGCATTAAAAATTGCATCCATCAGAATTTCTATAATTTTCCTTTTAATTTATTTATTATTTTTTTACTGCTTTTTTGAAAGAAAGATTAGTATTATTGTAATTCCTAAAAAATCAAGGACTTTTCAAGTACCCTATGGCAGAATTCAAGGACTTTTCAGGGCCCTGATTTTCTTCAACAAAATTCAAGGACTTTCAAGGTTTTTCAAGTACCGTGGGAACCCTGTTTATAAAAAAAATTGAAATGTTAATAAATAAGGGTTATATATAAATAATAATTTATTAATCCTCAGTTACAATTTCCAAGATCATCAGAATTACATTGCATTATACAAATATTGGATTTTTCTAAAATTATAAGTAAAATTTTCTTAAAATCAAATTCTTTTGTCTTGAAAAACACTCACCAATACCAACACTTGTTATTAGAGCAGATTTAAAGTCTAAGAAAAATTGATAAAAAATAAGAAAAAAACAAAATGGATTTATCATTACTATCTAAGTCCTGGTCATAAGCCCTATGTATACCCTTTTAAATTTCTAAGCTATGTTTAAAGAGATTTTTCTTAGAAGGAAAAATTAGTATTTCTAAGTAAAATCAAATCAAATGAAAAACATTTAAATGCTGAAACACACCAATATCTCATGTTTACACATTACAATAAAATTTGAATGACTCAAATGTAATATTAATTGCAGATTACCTAGCTCTTGGAAAATTAGTCAAGCAGTGATATACTTTGCTTTCTAACAGTTGAACTTCCACCAGCAAATTTTTATCATCTAACTTTTTAAGTTCTTTCAATAAAGCACTACCTACAAAGAAAGAAAAACATCTACATACCAAACAAAGAAAGAGGCATTAATAGTTAACCAAACAAGGGTGCTACTGAAAACCATTTCACACTTTAATTTTTTTTTTTTTTTAAAAAATTGAATGAATTAGTGAAAACTTTGAAGTTGCTAAACATAAATTCTTCATAAATAAAATATGAATAATCTTTTCTTCATTATGTCTAAAGATAAATATTCAAAGGAGTAAAACTGTAAATAATAAAAATCAACGGCAACTTAAATTTTTCTTCTTCTTCCACTTTCATGAAATAGTAATTTAAACCAATGAAGTAAATAAGCCATTGAATGTTGAGAAATGAATTTTTTAGAGCAAGTTAAAAAATGATAAATAATTTTAATAAAACAGTAAAATCAAAATAATATTTTAGCAGACTATTTTAAGGCATAAAATGAATAAATAAAATCAAGAAATACTGCAAAAAAAGTGCATATTATAATCTTTATTAATATTTGCATAGCTATGAACATAAAAGGTAAAAAAAAAAATCTTGTAGATTTTACAAAATACAACTATTGCATAAAATATATTCCACAAAAAAATGCTTATAATTCCTAATTTAAATTATATGCAATATTATTTTTATTTGTGGAATGGTGGTTCAGAATATAATAAAATAATTACATTCAAGTGTATTTTATTACCTATTTTGAATAAGATAATTAAAACTTATATTTTTTATATCATTTAAAAAAATTTTTTTTTTTTTTTTTAAATAAAAATACATTTCAAATAGATTTTAAAAGAAACAATTACTAATTCAGAAATTTAAATTTCTGCAGATTTCTTTTTAGAATTTTCTAAAAAGTGAAGAAAAAAATAAAAAGAACTGCAAAATCTAATGAAGTTGGCAGCCACACATTTAAAACCATAAAAACCTTAATGAAAAAATGTAATAGTTTCCATTAAAAAATATTCTGTAAACAAGCCGGAAAAGTTATTCTTAATGCTACAAACAAAGCAGTTCCAATTGTACATAAATAATTAACCATCACAGAACTTCCAAAAACAGAAATCAAATTATAAAAAAAATTAGGATAATATTTCTACTTATAGTCACATAACTCATATTTGTGTTGTTGCTTTGATAAAATGGACACATAATACATAAGGTAATCAAAGATGTATCAGTAATTAAAACTGTAAAATTATTTAGCAACATTTTAAAACTATTCATGCATAGTTTTGTATTTTACAGTTCATATATATTTATTTTATATCCTAAGTGAAAAAAATATTTTTGCTAATTTGACAAACCTTTTAAAATAGTTTAATTTAAAATAATTTTTATTGCCAAAATGAAGATCTACAGATGAATAATATTATAAATACTTATTATGCAATTTTGAAATTATTTAATGTTCTGGAAATTAATTCCACTGTCTTTAGCATCAAAAAGCATGTATTGTGAAGTGCTCAATACAAGTTAAATGTTAATTTCTTCATAATGTTTCTAAGATAGAAGCTATATCAGATCTTTTAAGCAACTCAAATAATTATTACCTAAATTTAAAGCCTCTGTGTATTTGCCAATGTCGTAGTACAAAGAAATGAGCCTTGCCTGAAAAATATAAAAAATATATTTAAAAGAAATGCAAGGAAATTTGATAGTACAATAATATATTTAAATAAATGCCCTACAATTATGTTAAATCTCAAACTTAAAAAAACAAGTATAACATATACAGGATGTCAGGCAATTTTTTAACTGAAATTCTCAGACTTTGCAACATTTTTAGTTAATAAAAACACTTGAATTAAAGAAAATGATTTAAAATATAAATTAAACAGATATATTTAAAAATAGGTCAAGTAAATGCCACTAAAATAAATTATATAATTAATACAAAAAGGAATTTGCAGATAATTTAAATTTAATTTTGTAAATATATCATTAAATGACATTTTTCTATTCAATGATTTCTTATTTTTATCATAAAATTTTCTAACCCTTACAGAAAACTGTGGAAGTTAAAATTACCAAAATATATTTGGAATGTTTTTTGTATTGGGACATGCAAAGTAAAATATAAGAGCTACAGGATAAAAAGTTACATGCCATAGTTCTAAAAGAGGTTTGCTATTTACAGGGGTGATTGCGAGCCCAAGTCAAAATTCCGGAAAATTTTTTGAGTTAAAAAAAAAAGTTTAAATTGAAAAATTAGAAAAAAAATTAAACAATGTTTCTTTCCTTTTTCTCAATATTTCTTAGTTTACTTAAAATATATTTAAAATTCTACACAATTACCATTTACACATACCTAAGATGACCTGAAGAAGCAATTAAAATTAACAAATATGTCTTTCGTTTTTGAGTTTATGATTATAACAACCAAGCACGTAGGTATAGTTTTTTCATGGGGGGTGTTTTGTGATTGAGGAATTTATTAATTAGATGTAATTTAATTAAACCAGTTACATACATACAGGAAAACTCATTTTGGTTTTGATAAAATAACCTAATACAGAAATTTTCACTGTAAGCTTCATTTAAAATTAAAAATCACAACCAGTGATCCAAATGAGATCAAAATAAAGGCAAGACATAAACGTCGTTGATCGCTTCCCTTCGATTGGGAGATAAGCGAAATTCAAATAAAAAGAACATTAAAACAAAATCACCGTTATTGTCAAAAATTCACGTATAAAATATCAATAAAAATTCATCTGTTCACCGCAAATTATAATGCGTTTAAGCAGCCAAAATAATATATAAAAAATGAATTCTTTACGAAGCAGAATATATGGGTAATTTTCAGAAAATACGACACATAGGAATTTTTTAAAAATTTTTTTAACCTTTTGGATTGGAATACTATATATATTTTAAAAAAAATACTAGTTTATTAAGGTAACTCTAATTAATACCTTATAGAGAGCAATACACAATAGTTAACAAGCATTTAGCAGTTTGCAATTATTCCTTGGCATTCAAGTGCCAGAAAAATTACAATTTATAATTTTATATTTTTTAATTCCATGTTCCATTTCTTTTTAGTTAGTCTTTGTGCTATTAATCACAAAACTTTATTAAACAGCTCACATTGAATAATAGTTTATATTAATTATTTAGAGAACGCAGGAAAATGACAATGTGTAAAATCATTCCAAAAAGCTAATAATAATGGTGTTAAATAAACTTACAAAGCCTCAAAATAATTCGTAAATAAATAGAATGAAAAAATCCGTGTTTCGTAAGGTCGTGGACTATCAAATTTGGATTTTGATGGAGTGGCCGCGGGCATTTCAGCNTATAAAACGAAATTTTAAATAAAATGCTACATTAAACAAAAGGAAAAATCTAAAACTTAGAGCTTTTAGGATAAGTGTCTAAGACAAAGTTCTGAGACAGAATGACCGAAAAAATTGCCAAGGAAGTTTTTATGTCCTGAAAAGGTTAACATATCAGTCCTAGTTAAAAGGCAGTCCTAGAAATCCAAGAGAATTCTTTGTTTGAGGCATGCATTTTATGACCGTAAATAGGATCTGTGTATAGCCAATATTTTAAAAAGTGGATGAGATAAGATAGAACCCATTGAAAGAACATTTTCCCTTAGAGTAATATGAGATGGGCTGGCTACTTTTCTGAGGGGAGAAGTTTTGTGGGTGGTAAATCAAGAGGAAAGGGATGCTATCTAATTTAATCACTGAAGATAAGCGTTTGTTGCTCTCTTGATGAATGGGTAGCAAAGAGGCAGCAGTGATTATTTTATTTCTGTTACAGACTAATAAAAGCCTCAAAATAAAATGTCATGGGAATTCTCCATTTTTTTCCTAGTAAATAAAATATTTAAAAATTTTGTAAAATTAAGGAAAAATTATTTATAGTATTAAAAAAAAAAAAGAAACATTGCTCTGTACAATGGGGGGTGTTTGAACACCCTGAACACCCCCCTTACCTACGTCCCTGATAACAACTATTTACTGATAAAAAATTAATATTAATCATGAATATAAGCTTATAAAGCATCTCTCTGGCTCTCCCTTACAAACGAATAAAATAAACTGTGTTTTTTAAGTTCCACCTTTGAAAATTTGATTTCCGGAAACTTCTGTGATCAATGATTTTTTGAAACGTCTGGACCTTCGATCTCCGGAAACTTCCGGATCACTGTTAGCGAAAATTCCGGAAATCCGGATTTTTTCCGGAGCACAATCAGCCCTGTATTTAGGTTCCAAATGTCATACTTTTAATTTTAAAATAAATGAATTTTAAACTGAAGAATATGCTAGAGTCTCAGCGAAAAAAAAAACTTCCCCCTCAAATATAAGTTACACGACAAAATTTAGTGGCTTATTTAAAGAACTAAATAGGAAATTTTCATTTTATGAGAAGTTTATGTTTATTTTATTTTATTATTATATTAAAATTTCTACAAAAAGAAATTTTTAAAAATACTTCATAACTTTTTCAAAAATTAACTTTTAAAACTACAAAAATGAATAAAACGATAAATATAAAAACACTATACTTCCCAAAATTTTTTGTTTCGCGGGGCCATGCCATTAATGTTAAGAGGAATTGGCTTTTCAGAGGTGTCAAACAATTGATAATAATTAAAATATAAAGAAAACAGCAATTCCTAATTGGTTTTTTTCTTTTAAAACAATTTTTCTACATTCGTGATGAAATCAATAGTTTTATGATACAGTTCTTCATTATCATAATTAAGTATAAAAATGTGAATGTTGAACTTTTTCTAGAACATTATAATAAGTTTTTATTGCAGAACCACATTGATTCATATTAGTGGCTTCTACTTCTTTTTAAACAAAATCAGTGCTTTACCTTTGCATTGTCCTTTTTTAACAGTTCTTGCAAGTAGAAAAAATATTAAATCTTAGTCAACGTTCCACAAATGAAAAAAGTTGGTTAAGTGACATTTTATAAAATAAATTTCTTGCTAGCAAAAAGTAATATTGTTGTAAAGGTTAACACTAAATCTTATGAAAGACAAAGTCACATGAGCATAAGGCCCCTCTTCAAGGTTACCATAATTTAAAGGGGGTCATTGCGTAAGGTTTGACTGTGTAAAGATAATTATTCAGAAATTTGATTATTTCAGCACAAATTTTGTCTTAAATACACACTTAATTAAAATTTAAAACAATAAAAATTTTATTTTAACAAAATATTTAAAATAAGCCTTTACTAACCTCAAGAGCTTGTCTTAAATAATTTCTTTTTTCTTGTTTAGCCCATTCAATGCATTCTAGACACATTTCAACCTACAGTTAGAAGAATAGCCATTATTTACATAAAACCAATTTAATGAAACGTGTAACACATCATGAACAAACACACATCAATGATATTACCATTTATGGATTTTTGACTAAGTCAATTAGTTTGTTGATAAAGAATCTGCTGAAAACTCTTTGCCACAAAGAAAATTCAAATATTCTAAATCGTTAGATATTAGGATTTTAAATGTAAAAATACTTACATAGCTATTTCAATTAAGTTAAGACAAATTCTTTGCACATGGTTCACACTGAAACTTTTTCTCTGACTATATCAGATCAACAAAAACAATCCAGATCGAAAAATTTTTTCAAACATAAAGCTTACTTCTTAATACTGATTATATAACATTTCCTAAACTACTCTCTGAGTAAATCAGAATGTAAATAATGTTCTCTTAAAATGTAAATAGGTGTTATAAAAAATACTACAAACCTCTAAACCAGTTGATGCTTCCATATCAAGGAACATATCTACTAAAGCTCTTACAAGTTTAGTAGCCTTTGCTTTGCTCACTAACCCAAGAAAAGGTCTCGTTAACTTAATAAGAGCGGCCAAATCTGAAAAAGGAATCAAAACAATTTACATTTTAAAATATTATTATATATGATTTTACTTGCAATTTATTGGGAACACTGAAATAAATTTTGTATACCGAAAACACATAAAATTTTATCATCAGTTAAACATAGATACAGTACAGAGCCGATTATCTGAACCCTTATTATCTGAACGTCCAACTATTTGAAGTATGTCTGAATTCTTTTTTTCTTTTTTTTTAAAGTTTAGAATACTTTTGAACTTATCAAAATTTTCTTAAAATTTCTGAATCAGTAGATCTATTGACTGAAAAGATTCCAGGTTACGCAGCAGAAGAAATAGAAGACTGGCGTCGAGACACTGAAATCGTCCCAGGATATCAAATTTTAAATGAAAATCGGAACTCCACAGGCGAAGAGGAAGAAGTAGGTGATCAAGTTCAAGATAGTGAACCTTCTCATACAGAAAAATGCAATTAATTAGAAATTGCAATGAATTGGCTAGAACATCAAAATGATGTTGATCCAGTTCAGTTTATTTAAAAAGAATAAGGGATATGGCAGCTCAAAAAAGAGCATCTTCTTTGAAACAAAAGTCTTTGTTGGATTTCTTTTTCTATAGAAAATAAAGAAAAATGTGGTAAAATCAGTAATTGACAAAAGAAATTATAAAATGCTGAAATATGATTTAAAAAAAAAATNGAAGAAAAAAAGGTCATGTTTGATCAAAAAAAAAAAAGAAAAAAATATTTAAAAATTGAAAAAAAAAAAAAAAAAAAACTTTAAGCAGAGCAATTTTAGAAAGTACTGCCAGTCCCGAACCTGGAAAAAGTGAGCAGGGAAGTTAGTGCATAAATAATAATCATTTAAATTAGATTTTAAACAACTTTCCTATTATCCGAACCACGTTCGGTCCCGAGCAATTCGGATAATCGGCGCTCTACTTTAATTTTTCTAGACCTAAATCGAAATTTTTTAAATTAACACAATAAACAATTACAATACCAGGTTTATTACAAACCTTTTAAATCTGGTTAGAAATTGCATGATTTTATGTAACATTAACAAGCTGTAAGCAATGTGATGATTGGGAAAGCACATATGAATTTTTATACATGAAAACAAAATAATTATTATACATGAAATAATAGATACCTTTTGCTTTGCCAGTGTCGGCCAACATCTTAGCAAGTTCCAAGAGATTTTGTTCCTTGACACGAATGACTTCTTCATCAGGCTGCACATCTTTAGGGAAGACTAAACACAGAAATTGTCATAAGTAAGAATAATCTAGATTGATAGTATTATTCAATAAATAGGAAAAATAGATCTACACATATTTAATTTTCTGTAACTTTATAAAATCTCCAAGACTGGTAACAAATAAATTTCAGCTTGATATAGGAAAAAATATTTACCTACATTATGTTTCCGCTTTATAATTATAAAATGCTACAAAGGAAATATGTTCAAGTTATGTGACACAAAAAATATCTACCCTCCCCCCCACAAAGAAACAAAGTAATATGCATTCTCTAAAAAAAAGTAAGAAAGCATTAGTGCAGAATATACTTTTAATGTCACGATGGATTGAGATTATATTTGTTTTATGACTATACTCAAATGAAACTGAACAAATACTACACAGTAGATATGAAGTTCAGACTCGCTTTTAGAGGGCCAAGTCTGAAAAATTTTAATTAGAGCCTGAGATACATAGGATTACTTCGAGAGCAAGATGTGCATAAGATAAAGGCGAAACTTTGCGGTCTCTCCACTTGTCTTTTGATGTGTAAAATAGGAAATTAGTCAGCAAAACCTATTTATCACTTACTTGTGAAATAAAATTTAAAAAAAAAAAAAAAAAAAATTTTNCAGAAAATCTTCAACGCGATAGAGAATAAATTATTAGCATTTGCAATAAATTATTAATATATATAAATCATAGGCATCCTTGGTAGAGGGGACATTAAGTATATGCCTCTCTCAAAAACTAGAAATCTTTTAAATCCCCTCTCAGAGACAAATAAAGAAATTTTTTACGAATCATCAATTTTTACTCCTGAAAGGTAAAATCAAAAAAAAAAAAAAAAAAGATTTATCTTTTAACAGATGTTAAAGTAGTTTTAAGTAATATTTTTGTTGTGCGAAATTTAGAAAACTATTACAACTCTATTTTTCAATTTTGTTCTTCTCAAAAATTGGTTACATGGTTGGCTCATGATATAAATAAAACAACTTGTCTAGCAGTTAACACTTCCAGTGATTCTAATCTGTAAAGATATTTTAATTTATTGCAACATGCATATGCCCAGTTATTGACAAATCTCCCCCCCCCCAAAAAAAAACCATGCAAGTAACAACTCATAACGGCAAATTTAACTTCCATTAATGGCCATATATATTTTTAATAAAATCAGATACTTTCTCAATACAAATTACAGAGCACTTACGAAGAAAATGCATTAGAGTAATGTGCTGAAATAAAACTTTTAGGTAACAGCAAATTTAACTTTCATTAATGGCCATATATATGCATATATATTTTTAATAAAATCAGATACTTTTTCAGGGTGGCCACTCAAAACAGATTTCAAATTTCCCTGAT